GCACTCAAGCTCTTGCAATCAATAAACAAATGAGACAATTACGGTCAATAATTATTGCACTTATTAATTAATTAGTAGGAAATAAATAACAGTTAGCCTTTACCAAAGAGGATATTAACTTGATTATAAATGACTATCAGTGACAATAACGCGGCTCAGGAGTAGGAGTAAATATGACTCCGTGGCGCAACGGTAGCGCGTCTGACTCCAGATCAGAAGGTTGCGTGTTCAAATCACGTCGGGGTCAAAAGCACTTTTTTTCCCTTTATGACACCGTAATAAAACACTTCGGTGCAAGATTAGCAAAATTTTATAATATTATTTGTAAATCAATTCAATCTAATTCTTATTATTTTGGTCCGGTAATTTCCATAAAAATGAACTGGATTGCACTATTAGTTTTCTATTAATTGTAGAGGAATGAAAGCATAACGTTTTTGTCGTTGGTGTAGGGCGAGTATATTGATTTTTTTCTATGGCATAGCTTCAGGTATACACCAAAATAGATTTTGTTACATTATTAAATACCATTTCCATTAAGGCTAAGTGATGAGTCATTATTAGCTTGATATCAGATACAGATGTCAATATTAGAAGAGGTGTCGTTTGATATATTTATTTGCTGGCATTAGTGTGTAAGAATTCTACCAAAGTTTTACATCTGGTTTACTTGTAAGTCCATTTTTTGAAACTCTCCTATTCTTATATTGCTACATTGTGTACAGAATATATTTCTTTAGGTATCTATGATACATTTTCTGCCAGTTTATTACCACCGTTAAGCCTCTTTCCGTGTAACTTGCATAAAACATTGTCCTTGCACTAGTCAGGCAGAATATATTCTAGTCTCCGTCTAGAATTTTAACTTAAGTGCAAAGTTATATTTAAAATTATTAAAATATGAGTTGCTACTTTACCTCCAACTTCGATCAAAACCTGAAAGGTGCAAAGAAACTTAGAATCTCATCTGTTATCCTCCAAAAATATAAAAATTCGCTATTTATGAGCCAGAGTTGTAAAATTCCAAAATTGTTCATGACGTAGATCTTCATCATCCAATACAAAGAAAGTAGATATCTACTTTCTTATATTCCTGTAAAATGTGCCCTGAAGTAACACGAATGAAATCATTCTATATGATCATACAAAAGATGTAAAAGTCTCTATAAAATTTTATTCAACCTTTTTATGATTCAAACACGTCTCTAAAATAAACCATAAAATATAATCATGAATGTAATATTTAAGTATATAAAGAAAAGTAGGTATCAGTTTTACGAAATTGGTTTTGATAAACTCACACCACGTATTACTGTCAAAAAATGGATCATAACGTGTGCTAAAACTTCCATTGATTAAATATTTAAAACTCTCTCTCGCTTATTAATCAATTGCCAGCAATATTTTCTTAATTAGAAGTCGCCATATAAAATTCATGAGGTCGTAGGGTATCTATAGGCAGTAAACCTTGACTGTTCTATCCAAACGTCGCTTTGCCACGTAAGTGAAGACCGATTTTAAAAATAATTTTTGCATCTAAGGATTTTTAATGAACAACAAACTTATATTCCTTTACCTTCAAACTCAAACATTTCAAGAAAAAAACTTTATTGTAATGAAAAAGTCAATTTATAATATTTAAAGCATAAAGTTCTCTATTAATAATCTACTTTTATTGTCTTTTATGAGTAATGTGTTTATAGTCTTAGAGTTAAAAATTGATTAGGTAATAGAATAGTGCAGAAATAGTGTACCTATCCGAGAAAAAAAAAACTCACAGAATTGTTATTATTAAGAATTTATTTAACTCTAAAATATTAGTACAAGGTTTGAAAGTCACTGCAATTATTACTTTGTTAAGACAAAATTGCTTTGTTCAAGCAAATAAGAAAATCAATCAAGATGATAGACATTATAGAGGGTGTTTCACACAACTTTACGAGGCTTACGCCTAATGTACGCACCCAAATATACAAAATTCACAAACCACTAGATACAAAAAATACACATTTAATTATTTAATTTTTGGAAACCCATGACAGTAATTGTCAAACTAATCACTGTTTCATTAATAGTCATAAACTGCAGTTTTTCAGAAACAATTACCATTTGTTCTACCAAGAGACGGCATGGATATGATTCTAGTTTATCTACCTTAATCACTAACTAAAAATGTTGTAATTTTAGAAAGGGTAAACAAACTAGAGAAGATTATCCAATTTTTCAAAATTTGTAATCGAGTTCGTATCGGAATATGTATTATTGATTGCATCTTACAGGTGCAGGCCTCGTAAAATTATGTAAAACACTCTGTATAACTGCATTATGATGTCCAAACTTCCCACTTAATCAACAGTTGACAAACTGACCTACGGAACTATGTGCGACCAACACAAAAACGTCGCTACCACAAAAATAAAAACAAAATTGAAAATCATCATTTGAATTATCTTCTTTTTTAATTTTCGTACATTAAAATGCTAAAACATTGCATATACTTTTTTTTATATTAATATGCATCAAGTAGGTTGCAAAAGTAAGGCCGATTCACTCAAAAAGTGTCACTAATGTCATTCAGAACAAATTTAATCACATCAAATAATGACATAAATCTTTAAGTTTGCTACACTATGTTAATTACGTTGTTAACTTTAGTTATTATTTGCTACCTGGGGTACATATTTATTTGAAAAAAATATTTTTAGCAAAGATTGAGGTTAGGATTGTTTGAAATTCGCATGGTTGCCACCCTAAAATGATCCCTTTCAACGACTACTTCGATGCACATTAATATGAAAACGAGTATACTTATGATAATAAAAGTCATTCTATTTAGGTATATTGTTGTTATATTTTTTGGGGTTTTGTGTCTTTATTGCATCTAAAATGCCAAAATACTGTGCGTTTTATTTTAAATCAAGATAATAATGATTTATCGTTATTTAAAATACCAAAGGCACACCATGACTTTTAATCTCATTCTGTGACAATATTATTTAGATTCTTTATTCTTTTTTGTGTCTTGAAATAACGCGAAATTACGGTAAATATTTTTTAATAAAAAATCATTCTAATATTTTAAAATACATTGTCAGCGGCAAAATTAACATTATGGTGTTACTATTTTAACAGTGACTGTGGGTATGTTTTGTTTATTAATTATTAATAAAGATTGATGCCTGCATTTCAGCAGTTAAAAAATGGAAGAGCCTCTAAAAGATAGATGAAGTGAGTTCCATCTTGGATTTCCCACTTTTAGTGCGTTTAAGCGTCATGATTATAATTTTTCTGACGGTTTATATCTTCGAATTGGACATATCTTCGACAGGATATTTGCATTAGAGAAAAGGGCGGACCCGTAAATCGTAGCGGAACCATCCATCTTGAATTGTATTGGAATGAATCTGACACCCGCCGGAATTGAATGGAACTTGAATATAATGGGACGGGCGATAAGACTAAACTGTGTAATTGTTCTCGCTAGAACTCTGACCACACCCTTTTCCTTCTAACTTTCGAAGGCGTGATTGATAAAAAATAATCTAATTTCTAAAAACTTAGTTGGATGAATCTTAGGTATGTATAAAAAATTTTATTGGTTGTGTACAGGGTCAGTCACAGGAGAGTTACTTTGAAAATTAATTAGTTTGCAACCAAAAATAGGTACCTTTAGCGTATGTAACTGGATATAATATTTTATTTGAATTAATTCAGTAATCAATGTGAGCTTGATGAAAATGAGTGAAGTCGTCAAAATGACAAGTAATTGTCTACTGCTTCAAGAACTCTAATTTCATTTTCTGGGCCAGTAGCAGTCCTCTGACGGGGTCTTTCATTGAGGGCCAATCTTGTCGTAACTTGGCTTCCAGTTTTCTAAATGTTTCAGGAACCGGATGCATTCGATTTGGATACCACTCCAAGTACAGAGCTGCTGCCGCAGAAGTATTTTTCTTCCATTCTCCATGGATTAAGAGCATGCCCACTTTTTCGTTGTTTGTGTAATACTACACTGTATTAACGAAAATTGACTGTTATTTTTTAAATGTCAAAATCAAAAGATATGCAAAGTATTCTTGGATTCAATTTTATAATTTTTAAAAATGAGGAAGCCAGATGCCTACACTGGCGGACACGGAATTTTGGACATCAAATTTATGACAGTTCAGAAAATGTCAAGGTAAGCCACGCTTTATGGTCATTATGATTGACGTTTGAAACTAAAATTTGAAAGTTTTAGTTGAAATTAATTTTTGGCGTCGATTTTCCGAGACAATAATGCCAGCTGTACGTGTTTTTATATAAGATCAATAAATTATTTTGATTTGTTGTCATTTTTTCTCTCGCTTTCAGGATAAAAATTACAAAAACCGAAAGTGAGGTTAGTTGCCTAAGGCCCGTTTTACATTTTTATGTCAGTCGAATGGCAAATCGTCCAAAATTCAGTGTCCGCCAATGAATGTGAATTGTATAATGGGTTGCTGCTCAAATTATTTCAGAAGTAACTCTCCTGTGACTGACCCTATATTTTCGCTGTAATAAATAAAGTCCGCGTTATCAATCGACCCGAATGAATGGTATCACTCTTATGTAAATCGCAATAAGTTTGTGGGGTGGAGAAAAGTCGCGTTCCTTTAAAAACACCATTTGTTTGAGAGAAAGAGTGATTTTTGCCGTCAGTTCACATATCCGCGATAAGAGGCGACAAACATATCGCGTGAGGTCAACTCTTTTGCCGCGCAAAAGTAACAAATGCGTTCCATAACTTTCGTCTAAATCTCATATTGTGTGCGAGTTTATCACAATCCGTCGGCCGTTCGAAAGCAATTATCGGCCAGAATTACCTATGCAGGAATTGATTTTAGATTAGAGCTCTTATGCAGGAATTGCAAGAGTCGGGTGTTATTCCGCACTTCTATACCGATTAGTCTTTCTGTTCCAGAGAGATAGGCACGGCCATTTGCATCATCAATAACGGATTGTTTTGCGTTTTTAATACACACCTGTCCGCTTTTCGGCGTCAGTGAAGGTGACTTCTTCCAGAACCACCCCCTGGCTCCGTCCTTTTGCGTTGACGGAGAAAACAACAATTCGGAAAGTAACATCTGGCTCTAAATTGTCGAGGAAGAACTCCGGGTCTCGGAACGACGTCATGTTGTAACGCGGGACGAGCGAGTTTGTCGTGTACAACTCCAGAAGAAAGTGTTGCGGAAGACCGCCGTCAAAGCCAGCGAGACATGTCACCTCCACCGAACTGCTCGTTTGGTTAGACAAAGAGCAGTTTCGTACGGGAAACGGCTTGCCTGTCAACAAACCAGTTTACCTTGCACAAAAATCGATAAACTTGACTATCGACAAATGACTAACCTGCTGCAACAACTTGGAAAACGCAGGGATTAACTTGATGGCCGACCGCGTTGATGGCCCAGCACGATAATGACCCGTAATCGAGTTCAGAAACTGGCGTATACCTAAGAACGCTCACTGTTCCATTACTGGTCTTGGCAAAGCGTTCTGCAGCAACGTCGAGCGTTTCCCCAGAGTTGTTAAATTTCCACCGGTAGCTCGTAGCAGGAGGATCCGACTCGATGTCGCAAACAATATCGACACTTTCGCCTCTGGAAGCTCCCACCACAAGAAATTTATCAAATTTGCAAGTTGGAGCGTCTGAAAAAAAATGTTTGTGTTAAGTGAAAAGTAAATTACAAATGCCAATCTGCTTTGATTGCGTTCCTTCTGATATCAATTCGGATACATGCCAAAGCGAGACCCCACAACAACCCTTGTGTGCAATCAATAAGCTATATCGGTCAGTAATTGCACCAGCTTAAGCCTTAATCTTTTCAGGAAAGGCAGAGATAAGTTTCGCTGTTGGTTTTATAACCCCCATTGTTTACCTGGTCGGGCTGTTGATCCTAGAAGGATCATTGATAGCATATTGAATAAGCTTTCCAAAATAAATACATTCAGAGAAAAAAGTTTCACCACCTGACAAAAACAGCCTTCTATTGCATGTCCGGCAGTGTTTTAAAAGTAATTACAGTTTTTTATAATGCTAAAATAAAGTGTAAATGTAATGTTGTATTATTTCATCAAATATTAATCAGTTGAAAGTTCACACTGTTTTTGTACCCGGCGCATCCACCAGAATTAATTTAAAAATCGTAAAAATTTTGTAATTTAAATTCATTTCATTTGCACATTTTTTTAAATTCATAGTAAAAACAAAACATAATGATGATATAAATAGTGTTTGAATCGTTTCCTCAATTTTTTTAAATCGCACATCCACCAAAACTTTAAATTAAATTCAGTTTTTCAAATTTTGAAATTAAGATTTTTGACCGCCTTTTTGTTCTTCTTGTGTATTCAGTATATAGTTCTTAATTGTGGGAACAAACTCCCTTGCCGATTGTTCGATAGCGGCATCGGCGTTGTCGGCTATTTCATCTTCTTTCATTTATTATCTTTATAGAGTGGTCCATTAGGGTACCGCATTCGGCCGTGTCCCAGAACCCGTTGCAGACCCAAGAGGCGTCTGGCCGTCACAACACAAGTGATGTATTACCGTGACCATGACAGTTTGTTATCCCTTGATAATTCTCTCTACTAAATAAACTACACTTTGCTTTATAAATATTCACCGTGGCAGAGATTTAAATTTGTTTTTACCTGGTCTAAAGAGTCGTTAACCAAATTGTCCGGTTGCTGCGAGTTATTTCCATAATAATGTGTGGGTAAATAATATAGAGATTGACAAAAGGGTTTAATTCGGACAAGGGACAGATATAGAATTAATCTTACAGGGTGTTAATCAACGAAGGTTGATTCATGTCCTGAGTTTAAATTAGATTCTAAAAATCGGCAAAAATTCAAGGTTTAGTTTAAATTGAGTCCGAAACTATTTAAATATCCACACGGGACGCAATTTCAATTTGTTCTTCAGCTTCATGTCTTGAACAGAAATTCAATTTGTCAAGTTGACGCAGTATAGAATTATTTTCGAAATAAATTTAATAGCTTACGTAGACTAACTAATAGCATTAGCGCGGGAAAAACTGTTTAGTGTTTTGAATAAAGTTGCAGTAATTTGAATAAAGTTGCAGTAATTACAACCGGGCTAATTTTAGGTAAAAAAATGTAAAAACCATAAGTTGAATCGTATCAAAGTAGGTCGCAAAGCAACGTACAATTCCTTTTTATGAGACAATTTGAGATAGCATTTGTTTACGAGGCGAAACAGCGCGACGTTCATTAGAAGTCGATGAAGATTGCATTATACAAAAAGAACTGTGACGTATTTTTCCATACAACCATGTGAATGGCTCATGTGATGTCCCTAATGATGTAGCACTTCTTCTCGTTATTTTAAATAAACAGGTACAAACAACACGAGAACAACATGCAAATAGAGGCTAAAATGATCATCGGCGACATGAACAGACGCGGGGAGAAGTCATTACTGCCTTACCTTCGCTGTTTCAGTTATAGAGTTTATCTTAATGCATTCAAAGCTCCTTTCTTGATCGAAAAAAAGCGACACAAAAGATCGGAATAAGCTCAGACACGTGGAAACAAACAACCATAATAAGAAGAAAAAGTTGAAAAAAAATTAGTTATCTTGCCTCCAAATTATTAATTATTAGTAATCAACAAAAAACTCAAAGTAAAACTTTACTTATTTTAAACATAATGATTTCTGTACTTTGCAAATGAAAGCACCCTAAATTTTGTAATTAAAAGAATAAAAGTCACGTGAAGTGTTTAATTAAATAAATTGTTTATGGCCGCAAAGCACAAAAATAGGCGATAGACGATAGACAATAAAACACTAATAATTAATAGCCAATTTCTTCAGAAACTGTTTGAAAGAGAAATAATTTAGAAAAAATATTTGAAACTCGTTTTGGCATTCTCGAACGTAAGCTCAAATCCAAATCTGAAAAGAAAAATAATGTTCCTTTTATAAACTTATTGTAGTGTTAGGTCATTTCCTTTATTGACTTGATTTGGCTCCATGAAACTTCTATTTCCAAAATTAAAACTAGTGATAAAAAAGCATTGTGACAAAAGCAACTAAAAAATAGAAGTTTTAAGAGTGCTTTGCTTTAATAAACCGACTGTTTCTGGTAGTCTACAATTTACAGCAATTTTATGTTTTTTTTCGTGCACTCATAAAATTTTCGAGTATTTAGCATCCACTTGGGATATGACTCACTACTTACTGATTACAGTAAATAGTTTACACTATTTTTGCTCATCAAATAAAAACACTTTTTTGAAATAATTTTTTCTATTTTGCGTTTAGAATTAGTTTATTCCAGCACTCAAATGACATCATTTGAATGCTTTAATAAGTCGTTGGCGTTAATGTAATTTTAGTAACGCACTTTCTTCACTATTCATTTTCAAATGTATAAATAAGAATTATTTTTATTTTTCACAGCCGCTTAAAATTATTCCACATACATGTCGCCGCCAACCGTCGCAAAATTCTCAAGAATTTTTTTTTTAATTTTCGTCTTTTAATTTATAAAATGATATAAAGCGGCAAATAGAAAAAATAGTATAAAGCACTTGTTGCAGAAGGTTCTTCAAGCACTCATTTGTTCCTCAACTCGCCGCTACGCGGTTCGTTTCGGAATTTCAAATTTGTGCTGGAACTTGTACTTTAATATACTGTTCTGATATTGAAAATGAATGAATAACATTATATAAAAAGAAAATTAAAGATGTTTCATATTGTTTTTTTTCCTTTTTTTACAGCTCTTCATCGGTTTCGCTTATCCTAACATATTTTGTATCCCAATATTCTTGGTATATACGCTTCAAATGCATCCGATAACTGTTATAAAAGACAAGTAAAATCCAGTACTTATCTTGATTACAGATAGAAAAACCAAAATAATGCAAATATGCAAACTTTAATGCTTCTGTTATTGTGCATCTATGCTACTATGTAGCACCCTCAAACATAACAAATCTTATCTGGACGTATTTTACTACCGTTTGAAGCCATTTTTCAAATTTATAAACAGAACAGAAAACAGTGATCTTTTTGCAAAAAACTCCTCTAGCGACTTTTTGAATCCCATAGCTAAACTTGAGATCAAATAAGAAGATAATATTGGTTTAACCAACCTATTATTTTCGAGTTTTTGCCTTTCAGCCTATCTAAATTGGTTAAAGAAGTTAAGTTTCATTTAGTGAGTTTAATTTCCTATTAGAAGGGAATAATTTTGTAAAACAACAATAAAGTTGCAGGTTCCTGCAAACGTTGAAAACTGTACCAGTTAAATGTTTTTGAGTAATGTTTACAAAACTTGTTTATGAGCACTTTTAATGTCTTAATAGAGATAATATTGAGCGATAATCCAACACTAAATGTTGTGTTAATTATTAGTGCGTTAATTTCAGTGTAGTATCTAATAACAGTAAAATCGAGTTTGCGATATAATTTCTGATTATAAAACCACAAACTGTGATCAAGCGGTCTTAATCGCAAATGTCGATGTTGCACTATGCTAATCCATCAATAACGTTAAGACCCAACATATACATTGGCGGTTATGCTATTATAACTCTCTCGAATGCATCAAACTATCGCCTAGATCAGATTAATTTCAACCCGAGGAAACTACATTTGTCTATTAGTCGACTTAGCTATCTATAATAAGTTCGGTAACTTCCCAAGTACTTAACCCTTCAAACACAAGGTTTTAATGAGTTAAGAACGTTTAAATTGTCCCCAAATCCAAGACTTTTAATACTCACATTGTACCCGAAAGTTAAGCTCGTTGCTGAGCGTCTCTCCTTCGCTGTTCACCACCGAGCAGATATATCGGCCGGCACTTTGTCTGGTTACCTTTTGGAGAACTAAACTTTGGTTGCTGTGGATGATGCGACCAGACATGTTGTGGTTAAGTACGAAGCCCTGTAACAAAACAAGCGCTGCTATTAATGTACCGGGCTCGAATACACGAGAACGCTTTCAGAGGATTATTATCCACGAGTTAAGCAATTCGCAATAATCAATAATCGCGACTTTTGTTAATTCTTTGTATCGGAGGCTTTAATATTTTCCTCCTTGAGAAATACGTCGACACCCTGATCACAAGTCTCCACTTTCGTGACAGTGTTTTTTGCGATGTAGGGTTTTGTCGGGACACAATTGGAACTGGCATCATTCGATGTCTCAGATAATTAAAGATAATCTGTCTTTCCGGCGGCCGTGATGAAACGCGTGTCATGGACTCTGATAAAGTCACAGACATGCGGGAGGTAATTGGGAGCAGCGCTACAGATAAAAACCCCAAGAACCCCATAAATATAGCCGTTCGATTTGTGGAGACTATTTATATTTATACATTTGATAAGGTGGAACTAAGAGCACAGAAATTCCACTGCAGACTCCCTGGTGCAATGAGGGTTACCAATTACCGCCGCAAAGAGATTTATTAGACGGAAGACAGCTACAATTTGTTGAGTTGGAAGATTTAGGTAAATGGAACTATGCAAGGTAAATAGCTCATTATGAAAGCATACTTGTTTTTCCTTTGTAGCCAAAGATCAGTATTTCTTTTACAAATGTTACTAAAACTTCACATTTCTGTTTTACCTCGACAATGTGAGTGTTAAGACACTGATTTCAAGTATTATTTTTTCATTCACAATCACTAAAGAAATATGCCGATTTCTAGTTTTTGAAGGTAGGCAAACATGTCATTGTTTCTTTTGGTAGGGAAGTAATTTATGTAGGATTTCCAGGATTACAAATCCACCAAATGTCAAAAACGCAATTTTTTTGTAACGTTAATGCATCAACTTTGATAGAAAAATAGATATTTTATTCTTATAAATTTGATTGTAAATAACAGCATGCAAACCTCGGTGGGAATTCATTACTCATTGCGCTCTGTCTATAACCTTGAGGTTTCGTCTCTCGGTTATACATCTCGAGGTAAGTGGATTGTAATATACTATTACATCGCTACTAATTGTATCATTTCTCTAAATTATATTTTTACTTGTTTATAGCTATATTTATTTGCACAAAGTTACATTATTTAATTTGCTTTATAGCCCAGTCAAATTAGACAAATCTGTGGAAAAAAATCCTAGAGTTGGAATTTTTTTATACGCGTTCTTTACACTTGGGTAGACATATATCAAAAGTCCCCGAAGGTAAGAGGCGAGCTCGAGGAGGGAGAGGGGGTTAAAGGTGTCTTTTTTGTTTTTTTGCTTATATCTCGCAAATTATCACTCCTATAGGTTTTCATCTTCTTATCAAAATTAAAGCTTACAAAATTGCCTACAAAAATAGTCCTTTGCAATTTTGTTGTAGGACTAACCGTAAGCGAGTTATAGGGATACAAAAAACATCATTAAAAAAAATGTGCTTTATCTGCATTTAAACGCTGTTTGAGTTTGAGAATTAGTCTTGTAATTTAAAAAAAAACTGACTAAATGGAATTTACTGGGTCTAATACTTCACTACAGGAAGGGGGAGTCACTAGGGTCTATAAATACAAACTCATCGTTTATGTGATTTATGCAGAATTTTCTGTAGAAGTCTATTTCTGCATCAAAATTTCCTACAAAAATGGTCCTATTAATTTTTGTCGTAGGACTAACGCTAGGCTTCAAAAGTTTGGAGTCTACATAAAATTGCATTAAAAATCCTTTGAAACACATTTTATTAGTATATGGTAAATATTTATATGTGTAGAGCGTTCCCCAACTAAGCTGGTCTGCGTGAAAGGTGACTCGGGTGTAAACATTTAAACGGAAATATAAATAAAAATTTTGGAAGAAAGAGAGAATCAATCTGTAAGAGAGTTAAATGGGGTGTAAATGTTTAAACAAAGATATAAACATAAAATTCTTTAGAGGTGTAAAGGGGCACTAAAATCAGATTTTTCGAAAATTATTTTTTAAGGGAATAAAACGGTGTACATATTTAAAGGGATATAAAAACATTAAATTTAGAAAATATGATCCTTAGAGAGTGTAGAAGTGCACTTTTCAAATTTTAATGAAATAAAATAGAGTTTAAACGCTTAAAAAAAATTAGAAACATGAAATTTCGAATTTTGAGAGTGCAGAAGTGCACTGAGACGACACTTTATGAAAATCAACATTTAATATTTATCCATAAACATAGCTCATGCGAAGAACGAGACTACTCTAACTGAATTCTATACATAACATAGGTAATTATCTAGCTTTATAGAGTACCTAAGCCTATGGAATGGTTTTGTGAACGGGCTTTTTCCCATTTTATATCAGAAATACACGCGGACAAAGTCACAGGCTACTTCAGCATAGAAGGATGACTCGGAAGACTTGATAGACCCTCGTGGCACCCTCAAATAAACTGTTGAATCCAATACATTCAATTTATTGTAAGCTTTATTCAAATCATCGATATTAAATCATCTATTTATTAATATTGTACTGAACAAGACTGTAATTCTGTTTTCAATGTTTAAGTTGAAGACGAAGATGCAGCATATGAGGACGACTCGGAAGACTTTATAGACTCCCTAATGAAGTGTTGAACCCAATAAATTCAATTTGCTGTCAGTTTTTTCAAATCACAAGATTAATTCTGTTTTAAATGCGGAGAAAGCACATTTTTTTAAATGGTGTTTTTCGTCAGCCCTATAACTCGCTTACAGTTAGTCCTACAACAAAAATGTAAAGGATCATTTTTGTAGGAAATTTTGTAGGCTTTAATTTTGATAAGCAGGCAAAAACCGTTAGGAGTACCTAATAGTTTCCGAGATATAAGCAAAAAACCAAAAAAGACACCTTTAGCCCACTCCCCCTCTTCAAGCTCGTCCACCACCTTCGGGGACTTTTGATATATGTCTACCCAAGTATAAAGAAAGCGTTAAAAAAATCCAACTCTAGAATTTTTTTCCACCAATCGCCCTATTTTTGTCTAATTTGACTGGGCTATTAATTTTTTTACACAAAATAAAGAGTATCAAATCTAATTAAACATAAATAAAAATAATTTTTAGCTACAGATAATCTGTTTTTTTGAAATGTGTACTTACTTATTAAATTTTGTTTATTAATAAGGAAAATTAGTTCTTATTTTCCATTTGTGTAGTTATAAATTTAAGCCCTTCGTTTAAACGTTAAATTTTGTCAGATGTAATTATTTTAAAATTGTTTCAATGGACAGCAAGCAGCAATCATCAAAACAATAATTTTTATTCCTTTCACCAGGTATCACTCCAACAAAAAAGAGATAACATTTGTCGATACTGAGGGTTGTTCAGTTGCTCCTCACCCATCAACCGATTGCAGTTTTCCATTCATTAAAGCAGGAGATTTCACCGATCTAGCAATAAATTTTTAACGCAGTAACTTAACTAAAAGTTTTACGGATCTTAAATTTTAGAACAGAGGCTGGGGGTTGGGCATATTTTAAAGTAAGTAGTAAAGTTTTAAGAGGTTATGAATTTTTCATTGTCCAATTTTTTCTCACACTTACTTATTTTAAAAATTGAAACAATTAAAATTTTAGTTTAAATTTTCAAACTGTCGGTCGGGTGATTCAAATCGGTAGAAGCGACGGAATGCGGCATAAAAAGTAAAATAAATGTGGGTCTCGTTCTGTCAACAAGTTGTAAAGTTGACACTCTCTTTGTCGGCAAAACCTTCTATTGACTCAAAGTTTTGTGAATAGATCTGTAACGTTAAATGCATTCCCGCATACATTGAAAGGGTTTATTTACACTTTAACATGGAGAGAATTTTTTAAAGTTTAACTTCGCAAGTTGGAAGTTTGTGCAAAAGTAATAAGAGTTTAATTATCCAATTATCGCAAAACTGTAAAACTTGCCGACAATGAGAAGAATAAAAAATTACTTTGGTAGCTCGGATTAGTTGCCAACAGCCACTAAACGCCATTCCACCACACCAACTAAACTTCTCTTTCATTGCACTAAACAAGTTTTACAGCTTTGCAGTAAATGCTTAATGAAACCTTTCTTCATTATTTTTAATTTAACGAAAGTCTTCAAGTTTGCCACAAACGCCATTAAATGACGATATAAAAATTTATTTTGAGCCCTCCTTCCGCAGAAGCTTCGGTAAACTTCTGATTGCTGGAATGAAGAATAACAGCTTTTTGGTTTCAGACATATATTCCGGGACAGAAAACAAATAGTTTCACTGTAAAATCGTAAATTTAATCAAAGCAGAATAATAATATTAAAATCGTAATGAGAGCTTAACAAAAAGAAGTATGAAGGAACAATTAACAAAACAATTTCATTTTCTAGATTTGCATGTGAAACCCCTTAAGTATTGACAATTAACTTCGAAAGACTCATCTAAAGGTAATATACCTATAGAAGCTTTGGTTAAATAGCGGCTTCCATTACGTTGATTGTCCTGTCAATGTGAAGCAGATTTTACTCCAAAGTGTGTTTTCAATAAAATTAGAAAAAATCTGAGCTATTAAAATAATTAAATTTCCACGAAAAATGTCTATTTTATCCTAATGGGTAATGATCTCATCTGCTTGAAGAGCTAAAAATCCAGCAAAACATAATTGTGGCATAATGAGTTTTTGTCAGTTCCGTTAAAACAAGGAACGAAGAGGGTTTAAGAAAGAAGCTCGGCAAATTTTCCCAGTAAATAGGGTCATCAATATTAATAAAAGAAAACAGTTTTAAAGAAGCCGATGGGTAATTTATTAAATGAAAACTGAAAGAAAAAATGCAAACTTCCTGAAATCAATCTTACACCGTAATAGTACCTACCACTTTTAATATCCGTATGATTTTTGTATTTCTTTTCTTGTAAACAGTTCAGAGTCGTTTACTTAATTTGAATGGAGCTCCGAGGCGTAGCTTTTATTTGCTCAAATTTCTTTATACTTTGTTTCGTTCTCTGCGGCAATAATTAACAAAA